GGGGAAGTCTCTTCCTTAACATTTAAGTGTCAGAGGTCCTGCACAACTTCACTTTATAAAAGATTTTTGGAAAAGGAGAGTTTCAGTTTGGCAAACATATAGGAAATGAAATGCCTTAAAATGTTCTCTTCTTATACTTGAAGAGAATTAACACACTGTATTTGACAGCTAATTATATGAAGGCAAATATACTAATAGTTATCTCAAACTGGTGCGAAGTGGCTCATTTCTTGAAGGTAGTGAAATCATATATGCATTTATTGAAAATCTCTTTTTAGAAAAGTTCTAAGTTTCCAAACATAGAGAACGATGGAAAAAATCAATGTTGCTGCTGAGCAGATGATAACAGGAGGTAGGTAGCATGTTTTCGCATCTTCACCTCTGTTGTTAATGTATGCAGTGGCTCATCAGAGGTAGCTCATGTTAATTTATTCCTGCACACCTGTACAGGGCTGGAAGTCAGGTAATCAGATAGGCAAAAACTATACATCTCTGCTTTTTAGCTACAGCTACCCAGAGGCCTATATAGGAACAAATTTAGTTCTGGAGACATCAGCAGGTTTTAATAAACCAAATACAGATGTCTTCTTCCATACAAATCAAGAAGTTTACATGTTTAAATCTGGACTGATTTAACTAGCAATCAAAGAAAAGGTTCACACTTGGCACCAATGGTTGCCTCATATTTATTTATAAATCACCCTAAACAAATATTATTTTGTTTTTAAATTTATGCATGGGGCTGAATCATCTTTCCTACACCTTGAAGATTAAACATACATGCTTACCTTTCTAATAAAATTTAAGACAAACTTTGGCAATCAGTGGCCACTATTCTCAGAAGGGAGGAACAAAGATGGTAAAGATCATGTTAGATGTAAAACAAAGGGATACATAGTTCTTTCTAAGCAGATCACCTCGTTTCTGTGTGCAAAGTCTTCATTTTAATTGAGGGAGTTTTAAAACTGCCCATCACTAAAAGATATAGATTTTAAGGTATTAGCAAATGATAAGAAATTCTAGGGAAGAGGACCGGAGGGCATTTATTTGTTGTTGTTGTTAATAAAAACCAAATGTAACTTATAAATAACTCAACATGAATGAATACACAGGTGATCCATGGCCACTCAGGCCAGGGATCAAAATTCAAGACACATGATGAGAAATGACCTAAGGTAAACCAGCCCCACTAATTCTATGACACGTCTCCAAGAAAAGTCCCTTTGGGAAGACCAGGTTCTAAGCCAGTTATAATTTCTTCTTTCCTGGGAGTTCTTCATGTGCATACTTCAAAACGGAGGGTCAGCTTCCTGATCCTTGAAAGAACAGTATCTTAGTAGCAGAAAAGTCAAGGGATAAACAAGAAGGAAAGAAGGGTGTTCAGGGGAGTGTTAGGTCTAACACTACACCACATTATCAGTTTATACTTAAACACTTTAGTAATCACCTTATCATGCTACAGTTCTTCACAGATAAAGTAATTTACATTTCACTTCCATAACTCAGAACAAAAATTATTCCTACAGCCACCTAGTGACTGGATGAATTGATCTTTGTGCATACCGTTCTCTGTCATTAGCGTGAAATGGTCCTCTTTGCTTTTGAATCTATTACACTCACACTCAGTCACAACTGTATAGAAGAAGGACACCTTTCACACCTTGCTTAGAATCCTCAGCCCTAACAAACCATGCATGTACTCCCACCCCCCACCACTTCTCCCTTCGTATGACTTTAGACAAAGAACATTCTTGCTTTTCAAAAAGCCTTCAACTTGATCTTATAAAATCTAGAAAGACCATAAGCAAAGACCTGGAAATCTCTAATTGCCAAATGTAAAACACAGCATTTAACATCTTTCTACTTACATCTTACTAACTAGCATGTCTACTTGGAGACCAAAAATGCAATTCACTCGTGTATAGCCATTTTGGAAAAAGCCCAAGAAGATCTGGGTATCACTCCTATAAGGTGTTTTAAGACCAAAGTTAAGAAGACTGCTTTTATAAACAGAAGAAGAGGGTTATTCTGTTAGTTTTATCACTACACATCCTGTAGCCTTGCACACTTCAGCCCCCACTCAAAATCCCCTCTAATGCTTTATTTGCACAAGGAAGACATAGTGGAGTCAAGGATGGATGAATCAAGACTCTGGGGAAAGGAAAAAAATAGGGCTGAGGACAGCAGGATTAAAGGCAAAGAAGGGTTTCTGTTTGGGAAGGTCTGTTGGCTCAGAGAGAGGTAAGAAAATGTGTCTTGGCTTCCTTGTGAATTGAAGAAGAAGAAAAAAGCAGGGACCCCAAATTCTTGGGGTTCTCGTGAATAATACAGCAAAAGTGAAGAGAAAAGGGGAAGGTAAGTCTAAGTGGGAGAACAGAGATGTGGTCCAAGAGGCTCTGTGACACAGGAGGTTAAGTGACAAGTCACCATTAGTGGAAGAAGTGATGAGAACTGGCTGAGATGGGTGTACGGCTATGTTTGAGTTCACTCTGTGGAGATGCAGGAAGAGGCAGGGACCCCAGTGGCATCCCTGTCTCTGGTTACCTGGTGGTAGCTATGCTTGCAACATATGTTAATTCGAGTCATAGACTCAACAAGGATGAACACTTTTTTTAAGGAAAGAAACGTCAAAATTAAAGTATTATAGTTTTTGAGAAGTTTTTAATTTGGGATCAAAAAATGTGAGTATTCTTGAAAAGCAAAACCTCAAGTGAGAATCAAAAAACTGTCTCTGCACGGCATTTTTTTTTTTTTTCAATTTGCTTTCCTTCATTTACCACGTGTTACACAACTCCAGAATTATAAAGATTAGCTGTGATGTGAGATTCCACCCAGATGAAACCTATCACCTGTCTTCTGAGGTTTGCAGTCTCCTGTGTGACTGGACGCAAATGGGAAAATATCTGTATTCTGCTTCCCCAGAATATCCCAGTTAGCCTAGACACTTCTAAATTTCCATATGGCTAGTCATCCGCCAAGCTCCTAATCCTTAGAATAAAAATGGAGATTGAAATATTCTCCTGCTATTAATAAATGTTTTTCCTTAGACAAACCACCCTTTCAACAGCACCTCCTTATGCATTAGGACATAAAAATACAAGTGCTTGTGTTTTCTAGTGGTTTGACATAAATGAAAGCACCACACTTCGGGCATTGTAGCCTTTTGGTTCCAGAGCCATTTACGCCAGTGTTATGACTTGCAGTATTTTCAGCAAACCAACTAAAACTGTGATAGGAATTCATGCAAATAAGCTTAAATTTTGGCTTGTCTTCAAACACTCCATTTCCATAAATATTTTATGCAGGTTTTCATGAGTCTTTTATTTTTGTTAAAAAAAATCCAATGCATTAACCTCATTATCACAAGTGCACTATTTCAAATATAAAAGAATGAGTAGTATTACTCACAAACTTGGGGGTGGGAAGTTGTGTATAGTATTATATTTTATTATTCAAATTGTAGCTACCTTATCTGCTGTATTCTGGTACTGTCAATGATAACTCAGAAATGAAAAAGACTTTGTGAATGTAAACCATTTTTACGGAACAAGGTAAATGGGCGTGGGGGAGAGGGGTGGGGAAGGGGAAATCTTAATATAGATTTCTCTTCAAAGCATGTTTTGAGTTGTATAAAGCGAGCCACTTATTTTTCTCAGAATTTTGCTTTTAATGGATTGGGCCTCTTGCATTTCAGTACTATGGAAAATATTCCTTTAACTTTTATTTTTAAAAAGATTTATCTTTTAAATATGAAGACAAAATCGAGTATTATAGAAGCAGGTCGCTACTTTTCAGTGACACCTTTATTTTATGTTACTTTGTCAAAGAATTCTACCCAATTGATAAGTGTGAGAATTTGGGGGATGCCTATTTGGAAACTTCCTAGTTAATCATGTTTCTTCTACTATATTGATTTTTACCATGTAATGAAATTTTGTCTAAAGATATTTTTAAAAGACAGAGTAAAACCAAAAAGCCACATCGGACATGAGAGGAAGAATTAACTGGTGTGTGACTCTGGGTTGGGCTGGTATATTATGTAAATGATCTGCTTGCAAGCTTATCTCCGTTAAGTGTAGGATGACTGTGTTACCCACCACCGACCACCTTGACACATTCCATTTATATTACATTTTCTTTAGGATTGAAAAAGAACATTGGAGGTTTAAGACCAGCTGCTTCTGTTTAAACCCAACTGTTTCAGAGCTGTAGCCACATAGCTGAGGTCTGATGTCATCTCACGGCTGGACATATATATTCTAACTGATCCTAAAAGTATATGCATGCCTCCCCTTCTGTGCATAATTCCCACAACAGACTGTATTTTAGAGATATGTTCAAAGACACTGAAGTTAAAATAAAGAAACCCATACCACCATACCATTTCCCCACATTAAATAATTATTTTGGTCCCATTTTCTTCTGATATTTTCATGACTCTTAAAAGAATTCAAGGACACACTAAATACTCATGTAAGAATGATAACATTTCTGGTTATACCTACGGAGATGCAGGCTGTCTCGATGTCCTGGACCTATGGTTCTTTCCATCCGTAAATTTCTGTTTCTATATTGGATAAATATGTGTGTATGAAGATAATATATTGATTTAATTAAAAAGCCACAAGGCAAAGCAGAAATATATATAACAGAAGCTGCGGCTTCTAAGTGAAGCTTCATGAGGAAGCAGGGAACTGTGTACATAGTTAACTTATTCACACCTAGATGCATGGGAAAACATACATACACACATACACAGAGCACAGAGAAAAATGGCGTGCATTACTGGGTAAGATGGCATATGATTCTGCATGCTTAATCATAACAAGCACCAACCGCAACAATCCTTCATGAGCATGGCAGCTTGGTTATCTCATGGTTACTGTGGACAATCTTTACAGTGCATCAAAAACATCTAAGTTGGATTTTTTTTAATGCTAAGTCCAACATGACTGGCACCCTCCACCCCCAGCACGAGCAGCCAATGGAGATTTACTGACCTGTCTCTGCTTCGGCGAGAGGGGAAGGCAGCGTTGCAGCCAGCCACCGTGCAGACATGCATCTCTTTTAAGTGAACATTCCTGTAGTGGAGCTTCACACTGTAGGAGCTTTTGAAACTCTTCTTGCACACGTAACAGATTTTGGGGTCTGGGCTAGAACACAGGTCGCCTTCTGGGGAGAACTTTTGAGGGCTGCCATAATTCAGAGACGATGTAAAACTTTCATGCAGGGCTGCCATGCTGGCCCCCCCACCATTGTACAGTCCATACTGGCTCATGTAAAACATGTCGTATGTGGGGTCTGTGAATTCTTCCTTCACCTTGATGACATCCTGGTGAGAGGGCTCACTGTGGTTCTCATCAGGCCTCTCACTGCTCATCAGGACTTTTTCGCTCACTTCACTGTGAATGTGCTCATCCCCTTCCATGGACTCCTCGCCTAGTTTGGGCTCTGAAGACTCGGACTCATTCTCATAGTCCCGCTCAGGTTCTTGGTCCTCGGAAGTCATGCTGTCAGCCCTTCTTATTTCAGTCCTTGAAATGCACCGGGTCCTGCTATGTTTAGAAAAGTCCTTCACAGACATGCCTGGACTCATCTCCTCTTGGGAGTGGCAATGATTGTCATGGCTCACATCGTTGACCACAGCTGCACCATCGTTGGGGTCGTCGTCTTCATCATCGAACTCATCAGCGGTATCAATGATCTCCTTCTCAATCTTCACAGGCATGCTGGACTTCCTGGGCTTCTTCTTGGGTGCCAGGTCGGCACTGGGCTCATGAGTGGCCATCATCACTACTGGTGCTGTGGGCTCAGAGGGTGGTGGGGGGTGCTGCTCTATGGTACCACTGGCTGGAATGATGGGACTGGTCGGGAGGGAGGTTGGAGGACTCACCATTTCCCCCGGAGTGAGTAAACTTCTATAAAATGGAGGAACTGGCTGTACAGTCTTTAGCCCAGAAAACACCAGCTGGCTAGGCAGAGGATTCTGTAAGACAGGGTCTAGTGGGGGAGTGGTAAAACCCATTGGGGGCCGGCCAGGACTTGTGAGTGTGAGATTTGATTTTGTACTTGCTATGACAGGGGTGGCAGCTCCTGATGTGGCCCGAATTAAATCTTTGTCTCGGTTATTTCGTAGCATGGGCATGTGAAGGCGAGGATTAGGGTTTGCACTGTGGCGATTCCGGCTTCGGAGGGAGCTAAAGACCATGTTGCAACCTTCGATGGTGCATCGGTGTTTGATCTTCAGGTGAACAGCATTATAATGAATTTTGAGAGTACCTTTGTCATAGAACGTCTTCCCACATGCGTTACAGAACACTCTTCCTTTCCTGGAGGCTGACCCCATCCTTCTCATCCGGTGAATCCGGAATGAGCTTTTTGGGTGTTCAGTTTTGGTCAGATCACTGACTGGGGCAGAATTCTGAATGGGGGATACGCAGGCTGGCTCGGTTTTGGGCTCCACATTAGTAATGCTGGTCAGGGCATTTCTATTGGGTGTCTGGTCATTCTTATAAGGTGTGGGAGATACTTCAGATTCACTGCTCTCATTGTATTCATTCTGGGTTGAAAGGCTTGGTTCCCGCAGCCTCAGTCCCGGTTGCTCTAACAGTAACCCGTTTGGAGGCAATCCTAGCAGTGGGGCCGAGACTGGGTTTATGTACTGGAATGGAAGCAGAAACGCAAGGCTGTTGGGGATGTTCTCAAAGTGATGAATGCTGGAAGGGTTGCTGTTCTCTAGATGAGCAAGAAGGCTGGGACTCCGGGTGCGATTATTGCTCTCAATGAAAGTCCTTATGTCTGAGTCTGTCTTTGAAGATGGTACAGCTACGGCCTGCCCTTCTTTCTCCTGAATTGCCATCAGCTCTACAATGGACTTGGTTTCTCCAAACCGCAGAAACTGCTGAAGGGTGATGATTTCCTCTTCTCGAGACATGATGGCCCAGCGGTCCAGTACCTTGCCGGCAGCATCCTAGAGGCCACATCAAAGAAACAACAAACATAAACACAAAAACTTATTGATTGTGCAAAATTATTCAATGCAACTGAAGGTGCTCTGCCTGCTCATGAAACACTGAGAGTTACTGCAGAAAACACGCAAGCACCATTCAGAAAAGTCAACCCACAAAGCAAACTTTTCTGCCATGCAACTGCAGTAATTAGAGTCACAGAGAAACAGATTTTAGTTTAATGTCAAAGCAAACAAAATGTAGACCACTGGGGCTCTGTGATCTAACATGCCTTCACTACTGCTATTTTAACAACAATGGTCTATATAGAATGCAACTATTTAGCACATATTAGTATAAGACGTGAACTCTTGCTGTGCAACCCAGTAAAAATGCAAAAAATGGTACCTGAATCCGTATTAAGTAGTGACACCACAGGAAGGGATTAAGTACATTTTGTGAAATTTATCTCTTCGACACAAGCAGACATGATACTGGCTTCAATTCCTTTAAACAGGAGCTATTATACAACTTTCTGAATCAAAATGATGAAGAAAGGAGCTTTGCTCTCTGTGCCCCCCATTACTAAACTGTATTTTTCTCTCTTTATCAGCTGTATTTTAGTGTCATTTACTAACAGACAATCTCATAAGGTAGAGTTAAGGAAAAACAGTGATTGTACTTTTCCTGAAAATTGACTGTAATCCTGGGATTCCAAGTTTGAGTTAGACTTTAAGTATTTGACTTTTTATGATCTTGTTATAAGTGACAGTTATAGATATTCAGAAAGTAAACATGTGATGGATTTAGATAGAATAAATGTGTAAAAATGTTGTCTCTTAACATCCTCCTCTGATAGCAAAGGGAGTCCACAGAGAATACACATCAGTAATCACCAGACTATGTGTTGTTAAATATACATTAAAAAGCATTTCACACTTTCATTTTTGCTAGTAACTATGAGATTTGCCTGGAGGTAGGACTTAAAAATCCTGCAATGTAATGTCAGGCAATCCATTTCAGCATGGGCTGGGAGAAATGTATTCAAATGCTTAAATAATGACTCCATCATTTTCTAGAGCACAGCTTCTTCCTAACCAGGATGGGAACTTTTGCAACCTCTGTGAATAATACTTGCCCCAACCTGCCTATCAATTTAAGAAAGCATAAAATCTTCTTAAAAAACAAAATTAGATACGTATTCATTACAAAGAGAAAAACCATAACGTTACAACGGAGAAACCTAGCAGACACCACCTTAACCAAGTAACCAAAGTCAACATCACCAGTGTTAAGCATCATCATGTATCTTCTGATATATACTGAGAAGGGCACATCATCTTTTTCTTGCCAAAATATGTATAACCTCAATCTAAATCATGAGAAAACATAAGATAAACCAAAATTGAAGGACATTCTACAAAACAGCGGCTAGTACTCTTCAAAGTGTAAATGTCAGTAAAGATTTTTTAAAAAGGACCAGAGAATGGTTACAGATTGGAGAGGACCAAGAAAATAGGACAAATAAATGTAATGTGAGATTCTAGAGATACCAGACCAGAAAAAGACCCTTTAATGGGAAAACTCGCAAAATTTGAATAAAGTATCTAGATCAGTTAATAGTATGGTACCAACCTTAATTTCTTAGTTTCATCAACTGGGCTGTGTTTACGTAGAATGTGTCATTAGGGGAAGCAGGATAAAGGGAACGATACTATTTTTGCAATGGAAAATTCTGTCTCATAGACCATTTCTATTCAGCTTTGTGATATCAAATTCTCTCTGGACCACAACTGTATGGTCTGAACCAAGACAACTAGTTTGATTGTAAGGAGATACTTATCATTTATTTAAATTACTTTACAAAAAAGAAGCTCTAATAGTTATGTGCCATTCCTGATAAAGACTCACTCCAGCATTCTATTATTTTACATAAAGTATACATGTGGTATGTGCATGTGGGTGTCCATTCCTACAAAAATTTTCCCTCTTTCATCTTGTAGATAACATGAGCCTTCAGATCAAATATCCTCATGCACCTATCTGCTCAGAATACTTATATAAAGATATGTATATATGGTGACTCTGGGTGATGCTGGAATCCTGCAACAGCCAGTTTTTAAAAAGTATCACTCAAAGCAATTGGTCTCCCTTACATGCTTTTTCTGGAATAGGGCAAAGCAAGGGGGAGTGTTGGGTATTGTAGGTAAACAGAGAAATAAATTGTGATTTTGTATAGATTATCTCATTTGAACCCCATAATAGCTTCCAGAGCTCAGCAAATGTGTAACAGATGAGGGGCCAAGGGTGAAAGAAAGGGGGATGGCTGGTTGAGGTAGCCAAGACGCTAACTTGGGGTCTCGGACTCGAATCCAGAAATTCTGACTCTAAGTTCATGGGGTGTAATGACTGTTGTCCATAATGTCTTTTCCCAGGTGGGCACACTGAGTCTCTGACCATAAGGAATAGGACTTCTGCACAGGGCTGGTCTCTGGAGCACTGTAATGTCCTCCTCTACACCGTTTTTCTTTTACCATCAAATCCATTCTCTTAATTGTACTTCTATGGAAGCTTTTACTGTGGATCGTTTCTCAGGCTGCAGTGCGACCTGAGCAGCACGCAGTCATTCCTTCCCAGGTAGCCGGCACCTAAGTCCGCATGTCGATAATGTACTTACACAGCTGGTGGCCTCTGGTATTAAAACAACCCTTAGAAACCATAGCAACTGATCAAACCCACCTGAGGCATCTCCTTTCCATCACCCTCCTATCTTGTCTCCCCCAGCAGAACACAGCAGTCCCATATGGTTTCTCTTTTCTCCTGGCCCGCCACAACACCTGCTGCTCTTTCTAAAACCACTGCCTTTCAGACCTCTTTTAGTCCTGAGTAGCTGTCTCCGCTAAAATGGAACCGTTAGGTTAAACCACTTACTTCTGGTGGAAGAGGTCCAGGTAAGCAAGATTTAGAAATTTGCTGGTAGCCTGAATCATAAAAGAGAAGCTCCATTTATAGTGGTAAATGGAAACAGCGATTTACAGTTACATAGAAGGACAACATCACATCTTCGCAAACAAATGTACTTGGGAATAGGACAAACATCCACATTACCCACTCAAACTGGGCATCCAGGCAATATGAAGTGTCACAGATGTTCTTTCCAAAGAAGCCACCATTCATGTTTGATCAAGGGTATTTACTATCATCTTGCTCATAGAGAGAGCAACTGTAGAAAGAAACAAGTTGACTTTCTTATATAACATCATGGGTCTGCAAGCTCAATGCTAAGAATGACTATCGGTTTTAGCACATCCTTGGATAAACTGGTTGAATGGGATTTGGAAGTCACCAAAGGGGAAAAAGGAAGGCCCAGGTTCTTTTTTCCTGAAGATCTCAGTGACAGAGATAAGCATGCTCTGGTGCAGTGATTCTCAAAACAGTGGCTTGGGACTCCTGTGTTAAAGCAAGAATTTCCATGAGTGGTCTATATGCTATTCAAAAAAGACCGGTGTCAGTTTTTGTTTTTTTTTTTTTTAACCAGTCTGCAAATAATTGAGAGTAATCATTTTGAAGACTTTGAGACAATGTGACAACTGCTGCAGCAATGAAAAGTGTGATGATTTCTTTTTTATTAATTTCTTTTTATTTTATTTAAGTATTGGCTTAAAACTTAAGGGGGAGGTGGGGAGGGGGGAACTGGTCCTTCCTCACAGATAATTCGAGAAGTACAGATCTAAAATCTTGGCCCCCATGCCATGTCAAATAAACTTTACCAGAGTGAATAAGAGCCATAGAAAGAGTTAGGCATTATCACAGAATAAACATTAATAAAACAAAAATTCAGTCTGGTAGACCAGTATGAATGTCCTGACTGTTGACCAACCTGTAATGGGACATGGGTCTTGTGCAGGAATAATAAACCACAGCAGATTGTGTAACTGGACTCTGGTCCTTCTCATTCCATTTTGTAGTCTGTGAGTCAGTTTCTTAAGGCTTTCCCATTTGTAACCAGAGTTCAGTGACCTTTAAACCTTTACATTGGGAATTGTTATTTACAAAATGAGGATCATAAGATTTACCCTGTTAAGTGAAATGCAAGGTATTATTATATGTATTGATTTCTTGTGAAATAACCAGCTATACTATTAATTAAAAGATGAGTAAGACCAAATAATCCTAACTTATAAACCAGTTTTACTGGGTTCAGAAAAAGTATAAAACACTTAAAATATTTACATGTAAGTATTTTAAATGAAAAGATTTCCTTTTATTATTTTGCTGGAACTGGTGATTATCACTCAAATCTGGCACCTGTTTCTGTATGGCTCTGCAGAGTGCTTTTTAAAAATCTTTTTTGTAGTAGAATCAACTGTCATGGTTTCAGTGGTTTTATTTAAGCCCTTTCTTGATGTTAAAATATAGTATATGACCCATAGTTTTAAGATCAGAGTAAGGTTGGTTGGTTTTTCTTAAGGGAAAGGGACAGTAGAGCAGGGAAGGATGTAAAGAGATGGAAGAGGGACCAGATAAGACACTTTGGGATAATTAGATTGTCAGGTGACCTCAAGCCCACAGACTCCTCAGTCCAAGAAACCCATCTGTGTTCATGGCAGGCCACAACCATGTCACAGTACAGAGGGAAAACAATGCCTTTCTTTCTGTCCACACATGTGAATGAGGGAGGAACAGTGAACAGAGCAGAGATCTAGGACTCATTTGCTCTAGCATTATTCAAATTATTAAGAAATAAGCAAATAGCTTTTAACTCTAAAAAAGGTAGAGAATAGTTTAATTTTCTATTCTTATTACATGAACTTCTTGTCAGTCAAATTTAAAGCATATATTTTTAAAAATCCTAAAATGATTAGCTAAAAATATTTCCTGTTTGATATAATTTTAAATCTTTTAATTAAATGATACTGAGCTATAGAGAATGCTGACCACCACCTAGAACAAAATCAGAGTTTTATGAGATATACTTTTTGATTTCATGTCTAGATTTGAAGTGTGCTATCTTAAGAAATTA